GTGAGTGCGCGAGGTGGTTATAAAAGGCTTCTACCCCCTAGGAACGAGGTATGCTAACTTTTCGCGCTATCTGGTTTATCTTGCCTTTGAAGAATTCTAACTTGAGCTTCGGAGCCCTTACGCCGGGTTCTCCCCGGAGCTTCTCTTCTCCTTCCGTTTCAGGTCCCTGTTACTCAGTTCAGAGGCAAGATCATCGACAGCTAAGACCGGCCAGATTGTGCACCATCAATATGTATCTTAGAAGTTTTAATAATTTTGAAATATTTTCATCCGTATTCAATTTATGAAATTTGTATTATTTTTTAGTGTATCTATGTATGATCGGGCTGTCGGGTCTTGTTGCTTTGTTCCGGATTAAGCTTTGAGATCTTCTGGATATGGGTTGAACCCGATGGGTCTTCTCATTGTGTAAGCAAATACAAAACTTTGACAGCTCGATTCCCCCCATCCAGCCATCCTTCCCGCTGTTACGATACAAGGAGGCACAGACGCACAGTCTGTCAGTCTGGAAAAAGCGAACGGCGAAGGCGAATAGTGGGACTTACTGGATATTGGACATAACCTCAGATTTGAACACGTATACGCCTATATATATATTCTACTATACGGTCATCTCGGTCTATTTGACTTCGCCACCAAAAAGCATCCAGTGTAAGCAACCTGAGAGGCCAAAGGGAGGAGACGGAGCCGGAGACTGGTTGTTGGTGACTATTGCTCGCTCTTCTTCTCCGTTGTGCTCTCTTCCCACTCCAACCTTTTCCCTCTACGTCTACGGCACGCTAAAAGAATCAGAATTTTAGACTCAATTGGCTCTCTTGTCCAGTCGCTTTAGTAATCTGTGTTTAACTCGTCGATTTTTCGCTTTCGTTTTGTCGGATTCCAATCAGAACAGTTTCTTGCATCTTTCTAATTCGAATAATACGAACTCGACATAGATATAAGAAAAAAGAAGATTTCTGAGGGGGAGTGCAGTCCAAAAATCCCTTTAATTGGGGAATTCCATTTCCCGAGATGGAAGAGGATCTGATCGGCCACCAGTACTGATTTGTTTAATGAAATGGCCAGCACCGTTGATGAAGACGCCGACGCAGTTCTCAGTGATGTTGAAGGGGACGATGCGGTTCCAATTGTCCTCAACGACCCATCTCAAGAAGACATATCCGTGGAGAGATTTAGGGAGATCCTTTCGGAGCTTGAGCGCGAGCGGAAGGGTAGAGAAGCTGCGGAGAATGCAAAATCCGAGCTTCAGACCTCGTTCAATCGCTTGAAGGTGCTCGCGCATGAGGCAATCAAGAAGCGCGATGAGAGTGGGAGGCAGAGGGAGGAAGCGTTGCGTGAGAAGGAAGAACTTTTGAGATCCAATGAGAGAATTTCAGGGGAATTGGCGGAGGCTCTGAGACTTAAAGATGAGCTTCTGAAGCAGAGGGAGGATGTTGCACGACAGCTCGATGAAGCAGTTAAGGCAAGGGACTTGTCAAGATCGGAGGTCGAAGTTGCTGCTCATATGCTTGTCACTGGAATGGAGAAAATCTCTGGAAAGGTTAGTAATTTCAAAAATTTCTCCGGGACTGGGCTCCCGAGATCTCAGAAGTACACAGGATTGCCTGCTGTTGCTTATGGCATTATCAAGAGAACAAATGAAATTGTTGAAGAGCTTCTTGGGCACCTCGACACGGCAACGAAGGCTAGGAATGATGCTCGTGAACGGATGGAACAACGAAATTATGAAATTGCAATTGAAGTTTCTCAACTGGAAGCAACCATTAATGGGTTGAGGGAGGAGGTCGTGACGAAAACATCTGAAATTGATAACTTGGAAAAAGCAATTGCTGAGAAAGACGAAAATATATCGGAGATGGACAAAGAGATGACAAAAAAGTTAAATGGGTTGGAGAACGAAGCAGCAGAGCTGAGGGAGATGGTTAAGGATTATGATCATAAATTGAGCAGTTTGGAATTGAAAATGGACTCACAGAGATCCTTATTGGTCGACCAGTTGAATTATGTGTCAAAAATCCATGACCACATCTGTAATGTTATTAAGATGGTTGACCCTAGTAAATCAGATCAATCGGACTTGTCAGAATCAATCTTCCTACCTCAAGAAATGGACATGAATGAGAACTTACGTGCTTCTTTGGCTGGGATGGAATCTATTTATGAGCTGACCAAAATAGCTGCAGAAAAAATAAGGAACGAAATGGAGGAGAGGAGCCGGGAAGCAAAATGTCTAAATGAGACTGTTGATCGATTGGTGAAGGAGAAACAACATATCGGGTATTTACTTAGAAGTGTTCTGTCTAGTAGGATGACATCAGATCCATCATCCGAAATGAATGAAGTTCTACAAATTGCAGAAAAAAGCTTAAGAGAGGCAGGGATGGACTTAAGATTCAATAACCTTTTAGGGAATGATGAAAATCTGGGCTCCCATGATAAACTGAGTTCTTTGGGGGTAGAGGAGGATGAGGTCTATACTCTGGTAAGCCTTTCTATAGCACCGTTGATTAAACTATTTCTTAAAATTGTTATGAGGAATTCCATGTGTATCTATCTTTGAGTGTTATTTTCATTCCATGCAGGTTGGAGCTTTGGAGAAGATAATTAAGGCATCTCAGCTGGAGATTATTGAGCTGCGGCATTCTGTGGATGAACTTAGGTACCCTCTATATAAATATATGAAGTTGGTCATGTAAGAATTTATTGTGTTATTAAAAAGTGGAATCACATTCTCAACATTTGTTTTTTTTTTGGGTATGCAATCTACTTATTGTTTGCAACTCCTGTTGAGGACATGGGTTTTTCAAACCCGAGTCTGTGGCAGCAACATAGACTTCACTAATTGCACAAGTGGCATTACCCATTCGTACAAGAAGAAAAGAAAATTATGAGGGAATGGATACATGTTTTTTGATGACGTGATAGTTTCCATTTGTAATATTGTAATAGTGCTTGACATCTGTTGATTAGATATCCTTTGTCTTGCATAATGCCTTACTGGATCAAGGGCAGAGTCAAATCTACTTAAGTCACATGTGGAGGTTCAAGCCAAGGAGCTCAGCCAAAGAAAGCATCGGATAGAAGAACTTGAAGAAAAGGAGAGAGTCGCAAATGAAAGTGTAAGCAACTTTGGACTAAACTGCACCTAGTAACTGCATCTTCTGGTAATGATAGTATGGTTCACATTTTTTGGACAAAATACTGCCCCGAGTAATAGCATTGCCTTGGTTAAGATAGATAAATTTCAATTTGTTTTTTACCCTTTTTTTCCCCTACTCTCTTCCTTGCCTCTGACCTTCCTGTAAACCTTTGAAACTCTGTTGATGGATACAGTCAGTAAGTGACACTATCAGTGTCTGTCCTACACACTTGTGGCTTAGTGGTTGTTTTAATTCAACCAAACCAGTGTTGCCATGATGTGGCATGGGTGGCAGGTCTTAAAAGGCTTCCCAGCGTGTCAAACTCTATAAATCACAGCATGGGGATGTGGTCATAAGTGGATATTTTGAATAAAATAATAAATCATTCAATGAATAGAAAAAACTAAAGAAAAAGTTTGAAATTCAAAGGGTTGGAAACTTTTTGATATTTGTTATTTGACACATTGTCCGGAAGTGCCAGGTACTATCATGGAACATCATCCGCATTTTGGCATGCCAAGCATTATGTGCTGGCATGGCTAAGTCTATCAGATTTGAGGTGCAGCAACCAACTCAAGGGACCCAATGTCCATCTTGACTAATTAAGAGATCAACACATTAAACCAATGACGTTGGCAGATGGAGGATTGGGGAGCAATAAGGGGTTAGACTGTTAGAGAACAAGTCAAAAAAGATGATTTTGTCACCTATTCACTGACTACTATTGTTTTCTAATTGCCATGGGTTGGGGAGCAAGAGAGGGTAGACATAGGTGTGTTTATAGGTGAAAACATCGGTTGCTTATCATCCTTGCTGGACTCCATGTTGAAGACTTGAAGTCCATTAATATTGATCTAGAGATTCAAATTTTGATCTTTACAATTTCTTGGAAAGCAATAGAGATTGATTGATGCGATGATAGTTAGAACTTTTTCTATAGGTTCATTGCCTGATTGATTGAATTTCTAGGGGTTGTCTGAGTAAATGGTGATTTTGGTTGAAACAGTAGCAGGTTCAGTTATTAAATGTAGTGATTGTACAGTTGAAGAGGGAGAGACATTTAATGCATAGAGTGAAGAACAAATGAAGCAGATGGAAGAAGTAACTAAACTTATCCATAGAGAAACCATTCATATGATCCTAGATCTAATTATTTTATTAGCATTCAAAAAACTGGGGCAGTAATATTGTCCTTTGAGAGGGAAGGTTAGGATTTCCCATACACAAATACATATTACATACATTGGTGTGTTTTTAATTTTTATGCATGCTTATGCCTTTTAGTATATATGCATGTATAGAACTATATATATTCTTCTCCCTTGTTTCAATTGGGGACTCTAGGTTAACTTGAAAAGGAGCCAAAAGGAAAAGGCAAAAAATGTTTATCCATCTCCAATGTATATTAGTTGATCCAAAAAGGCTCATAGTTGTGTATCATTTATTCATACCAAGGGCTTAATGAACTTGTATTGATCACAGGTTGAAGGGCTTATGATGGACGTTGCAGCTGCTGAGGAAGAAATTGCAAGATGGAAAATGGCAGCAGAACAAGAAGCTGCAGCAGGCAAATCTATTGAGCAAGAGTTTGTGCAACAGGTATGGTGGCAAAGTAGGCCAGTAAATTTTACTTGAGTATATAGGTTATTAATGTTACAAGGTGACATTTTATGCTAGCATTCAGCTCAGCTATGTGACATGCTGTACACAAGGTGGACCAATGAAAGGATGTATTAAAAAGCCAAGGATTTTGTTCATCCTACCATGTCGTAGTGTATTGGATGTGCATCTCATCTATTTGCTAGCATCATATTCTTTTAGGTTATGTAATTTTTACTTGCTAGTATTGCTAATACAAGTATTAGAATTCAACATGGTACGGGATATTGACTCAACAAGCATAGAACTAGATTTATATGGACTTTTTTGAGAAAGCAGAGGAGAATATTTTCATATAACAAGTTTATATTAATTAGACAATAAAATTGTTCATGAACCTTAGGTCAATAATCATGGAAAAATAAATGAAGAATGCCATCTTTTCCATTTTTTATCATTAATAGTGATAATTTTATTGATGATAAGTCTATACAGTAGTATATACCAATTAGATGGACTTGTGTATGAATCATAATTGTAACCTCGGAGCTAGACCATTGCTGATTGCTGCCCCCCTGCTCCAACTAGAGCCCCACATAACATTACCCAATCTAATACTTTGTTTCATTCTAAAGGTTACCTGCCCCACACTAATAATCCTCTATTAACTCCCTCATGAGTTAAAGAATCAGAAAACAAATTAGCAGACCAAGAAGCGCAATAAAATTTTTATTCTAAACAATGAGCTAAGTGTTCTGTTTCTCTCATGTGATGTCTTAGATGCCAAGTTCCTGCTACTCTATTCAGCAACAAGATCATGATTAATGAATCTCCCTCAATGAGGAGGTTTTGAAAGCTAGCTGTCTAAGGCTCTAAGCCAGGCTCAACAATCCTTGAAGCACATCTCAATTTTGCCTGTATGGAGTTACGGCACTCTATTGGGCGAACAAACATCATTAAATCTGGTTCTTGAAAATGCCAATCTATTCCTGAAGCACCTGTGTTTCTAAGGCTACGCCCATCAAAATTTTATCATGTTTTATGGAGGAGCCCAAACTGTAGTGCTTCTAGTTCTTCATTGCCACCATATGCCAAGTTGTCCAAAATACATCTGCCCATATGAATCACCATGATACCGTACCCCTTTTACTTGTTGGTGAGAGTAGAGTTGGTCAAAATAATGCATCCATAAGGTGGAGATTTCCACCTAGCACCAAATAGGGTAAAAAATGTTCTCAAATGCTTTATTTTTTTGATAGATAATGTTCTCAAATGCTTTTCACAAATGAATAGAAGATACAAATTTTTTTGATAGGTAAAAAATGAAAATTTCGTTAAAATAAAAGAAAAATTACATGCTGATGGTGATGAGGCATCACCCAATTACAACAATGATAAAAGGTTCTACACTCAATATAAATTTTCCATATTACAATATATGGAGTGATAATATCCTACTCAGTTTTTTTTTTTTAAGTGTCTCATAAGTATTAATCCTTAGGTGGAAAATTTACTAACAGAAGGATCTAATTTTAGGGGGTACAACCAAAATATATTGCTTTAACTGGAAATAAGTTGGTTTGATGTGACAATGGCTTTAAAACCCAAGGCATGAAAGAAGAAACCAAGATGATTGACTGCCCCAGCTCTCCTATCATTATCATTAAATTCCAAAAAGCACCCTCTAGAGTTTCATGAAGTAGAATAGTCTCCGAGATCTCATGATCCCTAAGGCCTCTCTAGAAACCAAAATTCCAAGATGGATATGTAGTAGAAGATGAAATAAAGGATGACAATGCAGTTATGCATACGATATCTAGTCCCATTTTTTAAAGCTGTTTGCCAGGCTTTGGGTGCCCCTGAAAGTTCTTCTTGGCAGCCAATGGGGTTTAATGACAAGAGGAAGATTTTATTGAATTTAATTACCTATTGCTATCCACTGGTTTTTATGGAAGGAATGAAACAGGAGAGTGTTGGGTCTCGATCAAAGGCAAAATCAAGGATCTGTAACAGTGTTGGGTCTCGATCCTCAAGTTTTGTTTTTGGTAGAAATCCTCAAAGAAGTTGATGGCCTTGAATATGACCATTTTTCAGGGACAATAGGATTACATTATTATTATTATTATTATTTTTACTTTTATCTGTATAGAGTTTTTCCCTCTTAAGTTCAGCCTGTGTAATCTTATGTTGGTTGTTTGTATTAGCTATGTGCTTTCTATTTTGAGGAAATCTCTCCCTATTTCTCATTAATATAAATCCTATTTAGAAAAAGAAGGGATATCTTTACTATATAGCGCCTATGCATGCATTGGCCTCTCTCTTTCTCTCTCATGTGCAAATGCATGCCACTCAACTAGTTTTTATACTAAGAAATAAAATGCAACCTTGAGAATCTTTGCACCAATGGATCATAACCCCATCAGAGGTCTTCACAAAATCTAACCATATTTCCCCTCATAGCATCATTACTTATTGCTCTTGGTTTCAACTTTACATCTTGTCCATTTGATTGTATGTCATGAATACTTTTTATGACAGAGTGCCACATATCAGATTCAATAGGAAACCTCCACAGCCATTTACCTAAAAAGGATGTATTTCTTATGGTTAAACTACTTGATCCAAGCCCACCTTCCTCTCTAGTCTTAAAAACCATTTCCTACCACCCTTTTTGGAATGTCCTGTTTCCCAAAGGACCTCATAATCCTCTCCACATTTTTTTACCATTTTAACATGGGCTCTAAAAACTTAGTAGTAGATTGGAAGGCTAGAACTTATTAAAGTGATTGTTCCTCCGAATGGGCCAAGATGAGACCCATGAACATGTCAAAGCTATGATTGAAAGCATCAAATGAAACAGCTGTCCAATGTTTGGAAGGACTTGTAAATTTTATCCCTCTAGAATTGATGCAGTGGCTACTTTACCTTTTCTCATAAAAAAGAATTGATGCAGTGGCATATGCATGGTTTGATCAATATAATCCACTTTTTTCCCTTTCTTTTGAGGGAAATGTAATATATTCATAGAATCATAGAGGTGATATAGATGTGTACAGGAGGATATACAGAAGCATAACAAGACAGTAAGCCCCATATCCCAACAAGAAATTATGTAGGCAGGCACCTAGTTGCTATAGACAAGACATTTAGGTGAGGCACCCAGCCAAGGGCACCTAGTTGATGCCTAGGCAGGCACCAGACGAAGCCTTGACAATTATGCCTGGGAGATGTGATCCAATCAGATGAAAAAGTCTCTCTTGTGTGAAGGAAAATTTAATTCTCCTATTTAAGGGACATTGATCAGCAGTTCGGCACCTTTGTAAATACTGTCTGTTCCGGCCTTTGGATAGATTTTCTTAGTATTTAAAGTGCTCATAATTTAATAATGGAAATGGCACTAACAGATCATCTATCTATACTGTATAAACTGGATACTTGCCTTGGGTTCTTTGTAGGTCATAAAAGTTAAATCCAAATACTATATATCATATATGCTTAACATTTATTTGCACACGTGCTCTTAGACTAGTAATAGCAAAACAGGATTCATGTAGCCAACCCCATATAGTTGGGATAAGGCTTACATGATGATGGAATAATGATTTTTTTTGGTCACTGATGATGGGATGCTAATTTTTTTTTTTGGTCACTGATGATGGGATGATGATTGATGGGACTAAGATTAGCTAGTTAAAAATTTTTTTGAAGTTGTGTTGGTCAGTTTTAGTTATAGGGTCCGCTTGTGTTACATGGACTGATGAAATTCTTTCTTTTTATTGAAAAATATCTTGTTTTATATCAAAATTATATTAGGAAGAAGTTAAGGAGACAAAGAACCATTCACATCCTGAATTTGGGTAACGAAACTAATCCACCATTAGTTGGGTGGTTGCAACATCCGGTCCAGTGCATCAGATCTCAAGTTTGAGACAAGGGAATGACATCATTTGTCAAGTCCCCCAAGTGATGCACTGGGATGTGATCTGTTCCTGAGTCGCATTGCCTTGGTGCTCAGGCCATCCTGGTCTAGTTGGTAGGATTGGGCATTTGGCCCGATCAGAGTTTTCACCTATATAAAAAATGAATTTATGTAATGAACAGTCATTTTCCATCATGGATATCATGATCTAAATTCAAAATTTACATTTTTTTCCATGTATCTTTATCTTATCAATCAAGCACAACTCTGGTAGATGTTGTGTGATTGTATTTTGAGCAACTTTTCATTTCTTTCCTATACTATGGGGTCCAATGAGAGAAAATCCCTAGTTCTGCGCCCAATGATAAAGTACCTATCAAGGATAATGCATCTCCTGACTATTAACCCAATATGAAACCGAACAGGTGGAATGGCATGGTTTATTGTATTTAGTTCAGTCATCTGATTCATACCGTAAAAAAATGTATAAGTGAGCGGAGCATACATGATTTGACTGTAAGGCTCAGTCTACATATTTGTATTTGCACTCCTTCCAAACTGAGCCTACAGGATGATCCATGGGCACTGAGACATATTCTAGTCGGTAGTCATTGAAGATATTGATTACATTGAAATATAAATTAAATTTAAATTTACAATATTTTCACAGAGTTGGTCCCATGGCATTTATTCTCCGCATCTCACAAGTTTTCCTGCCCCCATATGCTGGAACCAATGTCTCTTATGAGTTATGACTATTATTGTCATTATCAATTACAATGTTAAGAAAAAAACAAATAGAAATGTTCCAACTTCTTTGATGCTTTTATTTGGTTCGTAGTGCATTATGTGTTTGTTCATCAATTGTTTTAATGGCAATGTTGCAGTTGTCAGCCCTCAGGCAGGAATTGGACGAGGCAAGGCAAGCCATGATTGAGTCGGAGAAAAAACTTAAATTCAAGGAAGAGACTGCAGCTGCAGCTATGACAGCAAGAGATGCATCCGAGAAATCTTTGAGGCTGGCAGACTTGAGGGCTTCAAGGCTGAGGGATAGGGTGGAGGAGCTTACCCGCCAGCTTGAAGAGTCTGATATGCGGGATGACTCAAGGAACCAAAACAGGCAGAGATATATATGCTGGCCATGGCAATGGCTAGGGCTTAACTTTGTAGGGTTCCAGCAGGCTGAGACACAACAGCAGCCGTCAAATGAAATGGAACTTTCAGAACCGTTTCTCTAAGTAGACAGAGTATGTGTTTGGAACCGTGGGCATTTATTGACTACTTGATTTGTTTGAAAACCGAGAAAAGCAACGATGAACCCATTTATTGACACTTAGGCGCCATTAGGCACCAAATTAACAAACTGTGAATAAACCAAAATCTACTTTTGCAAGTTCTTATGATTACTGATTCACATAATGGGGGAAATACTGAAGTGGTGCCTATGTAGCAGTGTTTATTCAATAAATGCCCACGGTTCCAAATACACACAGAGTTATTTCATGTAATCTTTTACAAAGGGAAGCATTTTTTTCAAAGCTTCATTCTTCACTTTTATATACACATCTGGTAGCCACCGGCAGAAGAGGACATTTCTTATATATTGAGCCCAATTTCGCCCTGCGTATCCACAATTCCACATCCTCTATTTTCAACCCATTCTGGTAGTTCCCAGTCAAAAGTGTAAAAAAGGTTAGAAAGCACGAGCTCAATTACTTGTATATCAAAGTTAGTCCCTGGGCAACCCCTGCGGCCTGCAACAAATGGTAATAACTCGAAGTCCAGCCCTTTGAAGTCAATATTGTTATGTAAGAATCACTCGAGTAGGGTGTTCTCTTCTCTGGATCCTTCCACAACATTTAGGGTCAGTTGCTATCGTCGTGCATTTATAAACACTCGTTTTTGCCGGAATGTCGTACCCATTAATCTTGCAGTCAGCAATTGTTTATCGGGGAACTGGTAATGGAGCTGGGGGTGGGGGGTGGAGCCTCAATCCCTCCTTGATCACTAATTTAAGGTAGTTGGGATCAATATGGTCCCGAATTACGTTCTCATAAAATTCGTCCAGTTCTTAGAAAACTTTCTTCAGCTTTGCCCCTAGACCATTGATTTTGTTGATCCATCCCATCCATGGGAGGAAGTCAGAGATGGTGGAACATCCCAACAATTCCTGAATTACTTTCTACTGCTGCGTTGAGATGAGAAAGCACCATGTCGCTCAAATTAATTGGAACCGAAGAATACCCAGCAATAGAAGCAATCATAAGGGCCACCTCTTCTTCTCTTATGGATCGAAATGATCGGTCACCAAGACTGTAATTTTCCTGAGCTTTCTCCGGTACTCACCATAGGGAGCAAAGGCGGAATGGGCCCTATGTATTTTATCATTGACGTGGAATGTTATCACTGGTTCCACAGCCCACTACACAGCGAAGGAGTTCAATTAATGTGAGGTAGGCCATTTGATCTCTTAAAATGAGTGAAAAATATGAAAGATCATAGATCCAATGTTTTTTATTTCAAAAATACCCCTAAAACGTTCTCATATCACATGTAATCTACCCCTTTTCCAATCGATGTTATAATATAGGGGAATGTTTTTTTTTTTTTTCTAAAAGGTTGATAAAAGAATTATTAAGACTATTTTTGGAATAAAAACCTTGGACCAATGCTCCTTCATGTTTCAGCATGCCTTGAGTCATATAACAATGGAATATGGAAATGGTTCTTGATACCAACTGAGGGGTGGTTCATGAAAAACCATCAACATTGGGGAGTAGGGGGTGTCCATGAAAAACCGAAAAATTAAATCGAACTGAGAAAACCGAACCATAAAATGCGGTTAACCAAATTGATCGGTTTGGTTTTGGTTTGAAATTTTTGAAAAATCGAAAGACCGATTTGATTTTCGATTAACCTATAAAACAACCGACGGTTAACTGAACCGATCGGTATATATATTTATATGTATATTTTATATATTTTTAATATATATCACATATTTTCTATATATTATATATAAATATATATTCATTATATATATAAATATATAATTATATTATATTTATAATGATCTATTTAAAAATATATTACATATATTATATATCATTTATTATTTATAATATAATATTATACATATTTATATAATATATATTATAAATATAAAAAACTGAAAAACCAAAGAATCGAACCGATCAAAAACCAAAATCAGTAGACCGATTAACCGATGATACATTTTAAAGAAATAAAAAAACTAATACCACCGATTCGGTTAAAAAAAAAAAAAAGGCCATGGTTCGGTTAAGCGAAGTACCGAACCGTAGACACCCTCTAAATTGGGGATGGCGTGGTGAGAATCACCAAATAGAAAAAAAAAGGTTTTTGATGGAGGGTCAAAACTAAACTATATGGGTGTGTTCCAGGATGGGTTTTAATAAATACGTGTAACTAAGTGGGTGTCTAAGTAAATGACTTTATTAGATTAAAACGTATCAAATCTAGTGTCGGATTCAAATCCAGATTCAGGAAAATGGATATTGATGATAGCCTCGTTAATTAATTGGACACCAGTAACCGGTTCGGGTTTCGAGTGACTATTGACACGGCATGCGAAAAGAAAAAGGAAAATACGAAAAAGAAAACGTGGCTTTGAGAGTGGGCAATCGCGTGGAGCAGCGATTGTTTTTTGTTCCGTCCATCAAAGCTCCGTTAGAGAGGAGAGGATAAAATGTTTGGAAAGGGCTTATAATAAAACCTCTATTTCTTTCTTCGCCGTGGTGCGATCCTCTCGCCGTCTCTCTCTCTCTCTCAACTATGGAAGTACTGGGACTCCCTTCTCTAAATACTCTGAGGAGTTCATCTCATGGGTTTCAGAAAAAACAAAGCATAAAACTAATGGGAAGGCGTGAATTTTTCGAAGTTTCAAAACCATCTTCTCCGGAAACCAAACTCACTTACAGAACCCATTATCATGTAACCAAAATTTTCGGTCTTTGCCAATGGCTTATCCATTTCTGCAGTTCTTTTAGTCACCTGATTGCACGCCTTTTTTTCCCTGAAATGTGTTTATTTTTTACATTATTCTTCTCTTTCTTTGGATTTAACAGTCAAGAATTCGAATGATAGCGGATGAGGAAGAGGACTCGGCAAGGCAGATGAAGGAGATGGCTGCAGCCAAAAAGAGATGGGAAGCTCTGGTATTTGACATCATCCTCAGTTAAGAGATTGGTTGCTTTTGGTAATTAACTTTTAATATTCTGGAGCCAATCTCCAGTTGCTTTGTACCTATTTTATCTGCAATTTGTTTTTAAAAGATTTCCACGCTGTTGGTTGAGTCAATTACTTTTCTAGTCACTAGCGTAAAACTATTCCCGAAGTTGGATTTCTTCAACTTCAATGTCTGCATGTTAGAGGCCTTTTGGAGTGACATAATCAGCTTCAAAGAGTATTTCTTTTCCCTGTTTGGTACCAGGTCGGAAGCTCCATCCTGAGATGGAAATTAGATGCTATTAAAACCATCTTTCTTCTCACCAGTCAAAAACAGAGGTAAAATATCCGGTGTAGATATGCTGCAATATGTTGCACCACATGAGAAGAGAGGAATAATAGCCTTTTCTGTAATAAGGAGAGAAAAACGGAGGCATTGATTGACTAGCTTACAGTTAGGGTGGCACATTGGTCAAAACAAGGGAAGAGTTTTAGAGGCTTCACAAGTCACAACTAATGGCATTATAAAGGGCTGCTACAATGTGGTTTGCTTTTCGACTAGTGTTGTTGTTTCCCTATCTTCATTGTCACCTCCTCTGGATGTGATCAAACAACACTGATTAGGTTCAGATAGCATATTTAGAGCCTATAGGAGATGATGATGCCATTAGAGTGGATACTTTCTCTTTCGGGTGATTCTTTATCACCTTCTCTTGTACAATTGTACTATATTCTTTTTTTAATGAAATTTTCTTTTTACTATCAAAAAGAAAAAGATGCCATTAGAGCAGAGATGTCATCACTTCTTCATGAACTTCAACTCAGTCTTTGTCTGATCTATTTTCATTTGGAAATTGAGGAAGACACTTACGTGGTGGTTGTATGGGAGCAAAATGGAAAAAAAAAATTCCATGGTTAAATCAGCATGCAGTTAGGGAGACCAGATCCTTAGCCCAAAGAAGGAGCTTGGTACAGGTGGATTAGATGATCTGCTAATGATTTAGCAGATTCACTGGAAAGGGCAGGGGCAAATCAAGATGACTTATAGTTGTACTGAAGCTCTACCATTTCTGCATAGTTTGTGTAAGTGAGAAACTGAGAAGGGGTGGGCCCATTGGCTTGGTTTTTACTCCTGAAAAGGAACTTTTCTTACTACTGTATTCCATCTATATCTTATCCAACAAAATCTGTTGATCTGTTAATTACAAGAAAAACAAATTGATCAGATATTTTGTTGCTTAGGAAGAGTGATAAGTCTTATGTACACCATAATATCAATGTGTTGTTGTACAACTTTGGATCTGTAAACTTAGCATGTATGCTACCCAAGTATCAAGTACCCATAGGATATAATTTATCTATTATTTGAAGTGTCATCAGTTCATTATAAGCACTTCCATGTTTCAAATTCTGATATTGGCTGCAGATTAGGGAAGAAAAGGTCAAAGTCTTGACACCAAGGGAGGCTGGTTATGCAATTCAACTTTCTAACACAACTCTTCTTGATGTCCGCCCCTCTACAGAACATAAAAAGGTGAGCAAGTTAAATATCTGATGTTATGTTCTTGAATTCAAACAACATTACACTCAATGTAGTGGTCCCTACACACTTTAGCTTGTCCTGAAGTGGTAAATGCTCATTGCACTACATCTGTGTATATATAATGGTATCATCTGTTTTAGTGAATATGCCACTTTTCTCCACAGTTTTGATATGTTATTCAATATGTTGAAAGACCTAAAATATGGTGGTGGAGGAAGTGAATTGTTGGTTATTGGTCAATCTTCATACCTCTTAATATAACGTGCTACTCTTTATTATATATATATACTGAATTCTTATGAGCCCCTTTACCATCTATTAGAAAGCTCTTAATGCAGAACAAAATCTAAAAACTGCTTCTATATAATAAACAAACCGTTAGTCTAAACTAATTAACATGTGTGCATAACTAAATAATGCTCTTTAACTCAGTTTTGTACAAGAACCCTATTTCTATTTCTTAACATAAGGCACCTTAGGGTGTTAGCCATACAAAAATTGTAATATACGTAGACTACAAAACCAACTTGTCGCATGGATAGCTGTCTCTTTAATGTGCATTGTCAATATTACAGTTATTTTGTTTTTTTTTTTTCTGTTTCGACAGGCATGGGTTAAAGGGTCAGCCTGGATTCCAATATTTGATGTTGACAACAGATTTGATGTTGGCATACTTTCAAGAAAGATAACAAATTTTGTGATGGGTATCATATTAAGCACGCTATATTATCCTTCTTTTATGTTTCTCATACAATGGCTGGGAAAAGATTATTTTGTTAATGATATGTTTTCTGCAGGGGGTTGGTGGAGTGGTGTACCAACATTATCATATGACAGGTATGAGTTATTGTTATTTATGTTGTTTTGTGCATTGCACCGGAATTATTGATGTGATATAATTTTGCAACAGCCAGTTCTTAGCAAAGGTTGAGGAGAAGTTTTGTAAAGATATTGACCTCATTGTTGCATGCCAAAAGGGATTAAGGTAACCCTTGTCTTACCCCATTACTTGTTTTGGCAGTTATTATTTTCTAGTGTTGGATATAGTTGCATTTCAGATTCTAGGTAATCAAGTGAATTTATGATCATTTTCATGAGATGAAGCATTCTTTGTCAAGGTGGTAGCTTGTAGAATAAGTCCTAGAAACTTGTTGTTTACCTTAAATTACTAAGCAGGTACTCTTAGCAATTTATTAGCATCTGACGGTTTTTATGCTAAGGTGGGAAAAGGTAATATAAAAAAGAACAATTAAAACAAAGTTTTACTTGAAAAATATTGCCCTCCTGTTTTTTTAGCCCATCACATTATAAGACCTCTAATAAAGTTGGTGGGGTATTTAGTACTGCAAAATTTAGAACTGGGTATAGGATGCATTCTTGACTTTACTCAGGATTAAGTATCATATTTATATTTGTAACTGTTAGAAACTAATTGATGGCTGTATATGAAAATGGATAGTTAACTTAATCCTTAGTTAGAATGCATTTATTTAAACTGCAGGAATCGTTTAATGATGAAGATGCCTTCTAGATTCATAGAATAGTAGATGGTTCTAAACTTCTAATATAATTTTGTACCCAAGTAATAAAGAGTGGTTTACATATTTGTTGTTCCTATTGTGCTATCTTGCTTCAAATTGAAAAATTACTATCCTGCAGATCACTTGCTGCATGTGAGCAACTTTACAATGCAGGCTACAGAAACCTCTTCTGGGTTCAAGGAGGTCTAGAAGCTGCTGAAGAAGAAGTAAGAAATGTTACAGGACTTTCAAATTTTTTTCCTTTCTGCTCGGCTTGTGATGTAGTTAAACTACCTTATTCTGTTTAAACCTTTCTTTGATTATTTTTTTCGAAGAAAGGTAAAGCATAAATTGGCCGTTTCCCAATTGAAAAGAGAAAGATAACCCCTTATATACAATAAATAAAAGTCATTAGATAATGATGCTTCTCTCTTTTAAAAGGAGTATACTTCTACCATTGATTAGGGTTGTATTTCATAACCCTTTCATCAAAAACAGGCAGTCTCCAAATTGTAACCCTTTGTTTAAACAAAACATGTGCTTTACCAATATATGTATGTGTGTTTGTCAGTTTGTGTGTGTGTGTGTGTGTATGTGTGTGTGTGTCTGTGTGCATATTGATTTGACTAATGCTTATTCTTGTGAGTACAGGATCTTGAGAGGGAAGGTCCTCAGCCTTTCAAGTTTGCTGGAATAGGCGGAGTTTCCGAGTTCCTTGGGTAACTCTATCTCATTAAATGATTTCTCCAAAAAATGTGCTGAGATTTTTTGCAGGTTATAGACCATAGATACATCTGACTAATGGTTTATAGACAAGGCGGTAACTAGTGAGAGACATTATTCATGGATCCCAATTAGGTTCTATTGCCAGGAATGGTTGTGTGATCAAAACCAAATTGACCTATCACATTCTTTCTGAAAAGACGAGAAACATTGCTAAAACCTACAGATAAGATTTCACAGATGTTCTTTCTTTATTGCACTTTTCAAGATCAAGGTTGAACTACTAGGACCTTAAAAGTATTCTATTTCCTAGGACCTGTGTTTATTATAAAAATGATGTTTGAGAAACCAGGAGGAAAAATAAATGCAACATGACTAGTCAAGAACCACTCGGGTAGGATATTGTTTATTATCCCTTTATTAATATAGTCAGTCTTACAGTGAATCAAGTGAAGGCTTGGGGTCTTGTCTTTTTCTGGAAAGTAGTCCTGTATTTTATATTCTCTCAACTACAGAAAATTTGTCAGTTAAAATTGACGACTGAAAATCTTGTTCATCTTGTGAGGGTTCCCTCAAGTGGTTTATTTATAGACATTTACTCGATGTTTCAGTTGGACTGATCAACAACGAGCTGCAGCTGCCAAGGAAGGTTGGGGTTATCGCTTAGTCTTCTCTGCACGTCTGGTAGGATTTACTTCCTGTTGGCACCCCATGTTCACTGAAGCCTTTATGAATTTATTGTTCCCTCAACAAGATTAATTCCAACTGACCTTCTTGGCACAGGTTGGTCTTTTTATCGTTGCGGATGCCTTGTTTATTGGGGCTCAACAAGTGGGTCGTTATCTTCAGGACCTGAGGTCCCACTGAGAGTTTAATGTAGGAATTAGTGGTATCTATGCACAGAGCTTCTCAGAGATGATTTATCCCATCTCCTGATCACATTCTAGCCACTGGAGATTCTTTAAATCCCAATTTTGGAATTGGAAGCTTGTGTCCATTTGGGGTTTAATCGTGGAAGATGCCATTCTGGATCCCACTCTGGCTCTCTTCTATATCTTTTTCACGCTTCCATTTTTATGGTACAATTTCCTGGTTATTTAGCTATATTTTGCCGCGTTCCAGATTATGTGCTCTTCTTTGTAACTATGAGGAGTGGATGTGCATTTCCACATGGAATTTTGGTGGACATTCTTTTGCAAATCAAGACTTAGCTGCCGAAATGTTATTTTATGGAGTGCACTAAATTTTCTATCCCCCGTGTCTTTGTTCCAGTCTTCACCGGTGCCTGAGTTGTCTTTCCTCTGAAAAACATTGGTCAAAAACGTTTTAACTTCAGACTTATAACCAGTATTTCCTTTTTTTTTTTACTTAATTTCATTATTTCCTATCTTACAATTTATTTCATATTCGTGTATTTATTTATATATTTATATTTATGATGCTATGTTGATATCATGGTTGAACCATTCAAACCATAGTCAAATCATTTAAACTAAACTGGGTGAATAAGTGATTCATTGTCCAATCTAATTTTTGGAACATTCACTAAATTTACGAAAACTGTTGCACTTCCAAGCAGGTATGACTTCATCCGACTTTCTGAAGTATGCATTGTGTTAAGCATGCCATGAATAGCTGGATAAACAACCAATTACAACATAAGTAGATTCCACTTCCAGGCCCAGCATTAACAGGGCTACAACTAGGGCTTTAAAGATTTAGATTAGATATGGTGACGAATTGAATCTGATGCTATTAATACTCAGATTTGAATCGAATCGTAGCCATATGGTTCAGATACATACGTCTTCATGCTCTCAGATGATCAGAAATTCAGAATAGAGCTATGGAGGCAAAATGGAAAAACGAGAACATTTTAATAAGTCTTAACTCAGACAGGCATAGGAGATGGGGGTGGGAGAGATGTTTGTGATAATTAGACAAAGCGCGGTTTGGCAACAACAATCAGATCACATATCCGGTGCATTGATATACCAAAAACCTCGGTCATGTCCAAATCTTTGGCCTCGATACCAGGGGGAAGTTCCCAATCAAAGGAATGGAGAAGTTGAGCCATAGCAAGTTCAATGCTTGCTGCGCCAAATGTAATAGCGGGGCAGCCTCTTCTCCCAGCTCCAAACGGTATTAATTGGAAATCCTGGCCCTTGAAATCAATGGAGGTTCCCATGAACCTTTCTGGTTCAAAAACTTCTGGGTTCTCCCATGACTCCGGATCCCTTCCTACTGCCCAGGCATTGACGAAGATCCGTGTTTTCTTGGGGATGTCATACCCATCTATAGTTACGAGTTCCATTGATTCTCTCGGGACTAGTACTGGAACCGGAGGATGCAACCGGAATATCTCTTTGATTACAGCCTTCAAGTAGTGCATTTGGGGCAGATCATCCTCTGAAACGCTTCTTCTGTCCCCGACGATACTTCTTATTTCAGCCTGTGCTTTTTCCATCACTCTTGGGTTCATTACGAGCTCTGTCATTCCCCAGTCCAGTGTTATGAACGTCGTATCCGTTCCCGCAGCAAACATATCCTAGAATCAACAGCAACTACTTGAATTAGTGGTGGAAGAAGAAGGAGAAGAAGAAGAAGAAGAAGAAGAAGAAGAAGAAGAAGAAGAAGAAGAAGAAGAAGAAGACTAACCAAGATGATGGCTTTGATGTTATCCAAGGTGAGGGGCGTGTCGAGGTCATCGGAATTCTTCTGCATGTCAAGCAGAATGCCAACGAAGTCCTTGTGCTCCTCTTTTCTGCTCCTGCTGCTGGAATGTTTGCTGAGATGGTCTTCGATCACTTCATTGAAGAATTGATCGAAGCGTCGAAAGGTGCGACGGAGTCTTGATTTCAAGCCAGTTATTGTGTGCATCCATTCCATGGAGGGGAAGAAATCGCCCAGACTAAATCCCCCAAGCAACTCCTGATACTCCAAGAGCATCTTTTGGAACCCATACTTATCGTACTCCCCTCCTTGGGAGAAACCCCTCCCAAGAGCAACCCGACAAACCACGTCGTTTGCATACAACCCAAGCATCTTGGAGAGATTGGTTGTGCTTGGGTAAGAAGAAGCAACCCGATGGACTAGACGGGCAACCTCCTCTTCTCTGACGAAGCTATATGATTGGACTCGCTTGGCACTGAGTAACTCAAGAACTGCGATCTTCCTGATGTGCCTCCAGTAAGCACCATAGGGGGAGAAGACGATATTGGTGCAATTGTAGAAGAGGTGTTTGGCGGAGAAAAGCTGGGGCCTGCTCGCAAAAGCAAGGTCATGGGTCTTCAACACTTCCTTTGCCGTTCTGGCAGAGGAGACCACCATGACTGGGACCTCACCCAGTTGTAGGTAAATGATGGGGCCGAACTTCTGCGACAGCCGGAAAAGGGAGAGATGGGGCATTTCACCTAGCTGGTGCAAGTTGCCTATGATCGGCAGCTTTGAAGGTCCCGGTGGCAGATTCAGATTTCTTGTTGGGTACAATTGATGCTTGACGATGAGCACCAACCCTAGCAAGATGATGATGAATGTCAAGAGACATGAGGAAGGTAGGAGGGTTTGCAGGGGAATTGTTTCCCAGAGGCACCATTGAGTGAGATCCATTTTGGTAACACTCCTACAGGCCTAAGGAAGCGAAGATAATCATCTCATGCCTTTGGAACCCACCTTTGTCATCTTGTATGTCATAGCTCTGTCTATTTAGGTGTCATAATAATCACTCCTACAGGCTACAGGAAGAAGCTCAGCTGCCTTCAGTATGTAGCCCACAAAAACACTGTTAATCTTTGCCATACCATATGCCATGGCTCACTAGTAGTGTTTTACACATATTTGTCATGTTGGATTTTCAATTGGATTGAGATTTAATTCACAACCATCTTGTTGTATTAAAATTGACCACATAATTAAAAAAATTTAAAAAATAATAATTATTTTTAATTTATATATTCATAATAAATGCATATAAAGATAAAATATTAAATTTACCAACAATAAATTTTATATAGTTAAACTGGATGAAATTATTAATTCGTATCGAATTTGATTATTAATTAGATGCAAATTTTAACCTCTACATACCAAGCGTTAGGAATCCATTGACAGCCGCCCTATTTGAAACCTGACCGCCATTGTGTGGTCACACAAAATTCAAAAACATGACACCGTTATCTTTTTTATTGGAAAAGATTTAGGGTCCGTTTGGCATATCTTTTTGTACGATCTTCCAGTTATTTATAAGTTAGGAAGACCGATTTTCAGTCTATTCTCGTTTGATTCATGGAAGATCTAGCTACCAAAAGATGGAATGCCAAAAAGATGCAAGAATCCCATTTCATACTGATTTCGGGAAGCTTCATATGAAGCTTTTCGCATCTTTCTCATTTCAATCTCGCGTGGAAAGACATGTGAAAAGACATGCATTTGCCAAACGTGCTTTGGGCTATTTAAATCTTCATGCAAAAGCTCAATGCATCTTTTGCATGTCAGAGCTACAAGAAGATCTTCCCAAAAAAATGCACCAAACAGGTCCTTAATTTCATGACCATACACTTTCCGCTGCCAATTGCGTTGAAAATACATGTAACGACTACTTGTTTTATTTGATAAATTGCATATGCTTCTCTCCCGATAACCTAGTGGTTGAGTTGGTCACTCAACCTCATTGGGCCAGTTGCCTGCTACGCATTTCACACATGCATCCCAATGGGACCGGATCTAATAAGTACAATAAACTTAACACATTAAATGAGCACTTGATAAATATGTTCATAACTTTCAAAAGTTGGTATTAATCTTTTTAAGGATGTGTTGGGAGTATTTTAAGGGATAGGTATCAAAAAAAATTTCTAATTGCTCATTTAACGTGCTTACAACATTGTGTCTACCTGATTCGAACTGATCACATATATATCACAGAAAATTATCCATAATCTTTAAGGTTGTGTTTGTTTTTGGAATAAAATCATGGTTTTCAAACCGCCATTGACCTAGATAGTCAAACCGTTCGGCCCAGGAATTGTCCAGGCAACTAGTTCCGTTTTACTCCAAATCCGGCCCGTGGCCAAAAACTGTTGAATCAGTCAACGATCCGTTGACCCAGGCAATTGAACCATTGACTTGTTCAACCGGTTTTGACCATTTTATTTTAATTATTTTTAAAATTTTTGTTAAAATGGATCATCTATTTGAACCGGAGGGTCGAACCATTGACCCGAAAACCAGTGGCCAAAACATTTCCGGTTGTGTCATTTTTTTAAAGCATTGTGTAAAACTTTATTGATGTAAAAGTCCACCGGTGGTGTTTCACACCAATTCATTTGAAATCATTGAACCGTTGAGCATTGAAAAGCATGATTATCAATGTAATATTATTTCAATTTTCAATGTAATACTACATCGATAAAATATTGTTATAAGTGACGTTTTACATTAATTTATAATATAAAACTTCACTCCATCCAAATGTTGACAAAATCAAACCAGAAAATGTTTTACACTACAAACAAGTGTTGACAAAACCAAACCGGTAATGGACCTAATGGTGTTTTACACCACAAACAAGTGAAGCCTAAAGCTCACTTTGAGAAAAGAGTGCAAATACAGGTAAGTGCAATGAACTGATTGGGCCAAGTCATCAAATCATTGACCAAATCAACATGTTTGAGTCAAGTTTTAAAAATCAATTTGGAACTAGAACCGTTCTTACCGTCGATTTCTCAATTGATGGTTCGACCATTCAATCCAAACAGACAATCCGTTCCAATAAAAAATTAAAATAAGAAAACGACTAAAATCATTGACTGAATCAACAATTTAACCACCCGCATCAACGGGTTATTGACCAAATCAACGGTTTTTTAGCCAAGAATCAAATTAAGGGTGAAACGGAACTAGTTGCCTGAATGATTTTTAGGCCGAATAGTCCTACTGTCCGGGTCAATGGCAGTTTAAAAACACTTATTTGAGTAAATATAGGCCAATTGGTCCAACCAATTTGGTCAAAAAATGGGTTGAGAAAACTGTCTATATGTTAAGAAGAAGAGTCGCATGCATTGAAGTAAAATACATGCAAATGCAATGATAATCAGGGGTCGATCTTAAAAATACTAGTGCAAGGGAGGTTCTTCCTTTTATAAGATAAGATATCCCCATTAAAGACAACTACACTTTGGGCTGAAGAAAATACTAATAGCAATGAAGCTCCCTTTCATAATCTTATGAGATTTTTTTTTATTTGTTTGTTTTATAATTCATAATCTTTGTGAGTTAGTTCATTAGGCTGCGTTTGGAAGTAGTGTAAATCCCGGTTCGTTGTTATTTTACACTCCTGTCCGATTTTGTGGCTGTTTGGGTGGAGTGTCAAATAACAATGAATATCAATGTAAATGACCTCTTCGATAGATTTCTACATTGAGAATTGATGTGGAAAATGCATCGAAAAAATCGATGTAAAAATCTGTTTGTCTCTCCATCGGTGTAAAAGCACTATCAATAATGTCTCTCTTATCACATCTTCGAACCGCTCCCATGGTGGTAACTCTTCGTCGGTGCCACTGCTTCTCCATTGTGCATCTCTCCGTCGGTGTCTCGCTTTCTCTCTTCGTCGATGTATCTCTTCTCCATCTTATCCATCGTGCATCCGGTTCCATCTTCTTTTTCGTGCATATGGTTGAGAGATGTTTATCAGGGGAAAGAAAGACCGAAAATCTTTGTTCTTGATTTTCAGGTTTGTGAGGGCGCACGAAGCGTCTATGATTTCTTCTAGGAAACCCACGATCCCACCAACAAAGAATATCTAGTAAAAGAACTATAGGCTTTGTTCTGTGCTTTCTTCTATTATTTGTTCTTGATTTTCAAGTCTGTGGCTTTGATTTATTTATCGCAGAGAACCAACATCAAATGTAGTATTTGTAAAAGAACCATAAGCTTTGTGAGAACTTAACTTTGTGAAGATGTCTGTTTCTGAGTTTTGTTTTTCCCAATAAACATCTCCAGAGAGACAAGTATCAGAAGTCGAGCCGAGTATAAAGAAATGGGACCCAACAAATGTCAATAGTTTTTACAAATTTACACATGGAAAGCATTTTTTGAAACTGCTACGGAGCTCAGGTCTGTTGGTCAAAGCTTCAACGCTGACGATCAAACTGTGTTGGAACTACTCAGAACTCAAGTTTCCCCTCTTTTTTCTAACCAAAGAGCGGAGGAAATGCTTTCCACTTCAAAGTTCAGACTTGAGTTCTGAGAATCATTTCGTTTTTGAGAGGTGGGTTGGGGAGGGTGGAGATTTGCATTTGATGAATATTCTCCAAACGCATACAAAAACGGGACGCTTTGTTTACATCGATCATCCAAACGCATAAGAGTGTAAAATGAGTATAATGTCAGTTCACTTTTTACACTCAAGCATCTGACCGTTGTTAAATTCCATCCATGTAGTTTTGCATTTACACTGCAAACAAACGCAGTCTTAGCAAAATGCCTATGTCCGTAAGGACTAGCTTAGTCTCTGCACACGATAAAAAGAATTGGCGATCAATGGTTAACCACTCCCTCCCATTTGTTGATAATCAAACTTTTTAATTCCAAAAATATCCTTGCTTTTTTATTTGTTCCTTCCCATGCGGCTCTTCCTTTGATTGTTCAATTCAGCTGAGATTTGGGTTTGTTTTTAGGATCATTTACTTAGATATCTCTTATAATTTTGCTTATTTACTAGACACCTACTATAATTTGTATATAACTAAAACACCCTTTATGGTTTGCATCAGCTTTGCTTAGGTATAATTTGGATAAAATTTATGTTTTATACTTCCAAAAGTACAAAATTTCGAAGTACACTCCCATTTCGATTTTGATACTTTTGTTGTGAAATACGTATGGCAATTTTTTTTTTCAAAAACATACTTTTCAAATTAAAAGTAAAATATGGTGTTTGGATACAATAAAATGTTGAATACATACAAATGTCATATAGCATCCATATATGCTATCATATGATGTATCTAAATGTTATATATCATTCATGTATGTTGCTACATGGCACACACATGTTGAATACATTTAGATGTCATGTGTCATTGAATACACTCAAATGTTGTGTGTTAGCATAATGGATGGCACGTGTTTTGGGTGGACAAGAACCATATTCGCCCAATCCTTGGTCCCCAAAGTTTTGGGTTTTCTTAAAACCCACCCCAAATCACGACTAGTGGTCAAAAAGCCCACCTAAACCTAGGTGGGGCAGGGCGGAGCTCCATAATGGGCAAGTCAATTTGCCATATTTAATGATGGGTAGTGTTATCTTGAAAGATAGAAGGGAATTTTCAGATTTTTCCCATCTCATAAATTGTAATCTATTTGTATATCTGGGAACAATGACAACTAGAATAATATATCACAGTACAAGGGTGAGATATTGTATGATAATTAGGGATTTTGGAAAATAAAAGAAGAAAACAAATAAAAATTTATAAAGTAGGGAAAAATGAAAGGGCAACAAGGAAGGAGAATAAAAATAAATAAATATTTCTAAGTAGGAAGGATCGTATTGGCAATTTCATCATGACACATGGACACAAGAAGAATGAAGCAATATGTATTCTACGGGCTCTCTTCCTCTAGAGAAATAAATGGTTGTTTCTCTTTTGAAAACCTTAATATATATATATATATATATAATAACAAAATGAATTTACCGGCATACTTTCTCTTTGGGGGAAATGGTATCCCATATACGAAGACCATGAAATGTACGAAATGACATCAAGTTGAATAGTCACAATGTGTCAAGTGTCAACACTCAATTTTTGTTCAATCCTTTCACTTACCTCTTCATACCTTCCTCTTAGACACCAAAAATCTAGAAATACAATTATATTAACTTGAGACTTTTCAAAACCTGAAATACCCTCATTTTAGACAATCCATGAAACAAATAAGAACATTGAAATCAACATCAACGTCTGATTAGGCATCATCCCCAGACTTTGAAAACTATAACTTAGTAATACATCAACTACAAAGATCCATCGTTCATCATGCCAACTTTCTTTCTAACAGCCTTGATCTATGTGATATTCAAATTCTAACTCCTTCAAAATCAAATCCAACATATCCATTACCTTAAGATCACTAGGAAATAATAAACTAGTGAATCCTAACACGAAACTACTATAACTAGCCACAAAAACATCAAGTTCTCATTATGAAAGCCTTGAACGATTACCTAGATCGACCATATCTTTTTTATATCAGAACTATCCACTTGACTCTTCATCCTAATCCATTCCACCTACCCAATTCTAACTTAAAATTCCCTTGTTTGACCCCCCTCCCCCCCATCAAGCCTAGATTCTATTTCAGTAAATTTCATTAATTAGAGCTTACCATCCGTCATCCCAACTTCATATGACCAATCAAACCTTATCTTTATATTAAGAGACCCAAAAAACCTACAGTACATTAAATTTCATGACCAAATACCTCCATTTAATCATTGAAAAAGTAAAAAAATTGATTTATTTAAGGTGTGCTCGACAATGGTACAACGGGTCTAGCGAATGAAATTTTTTGAGGTATTCGACTTTGACAAACAAATGGTGGAGGTATTGGTGCTGTGCATGAGTTGGAGCCGAGATCAACAATCATTGCTCTAGCCGACGACAATGGAAACGACGTCAGTGGAGGGGATTATGTCACCATTGGGTTTGTTGTTGTTGAAATGAAGAAAACAATGAAAGAGGAGAAGAATGAGGGAGAGGAACGAAGAATAAAATTGAGTTTTTAAAAGCAAAAATACCTCCATTTAATCGTTGAAAAAGTAAAAAAATTGATTTATTTAAGGTGTGCTCGACAATGGTACAACGGGTCTAGCGAATTAAATTTTTTGAGGTATTCGACTTTGACAAACAAATGGTGGAGGTATTGGTGCTGTGCATGAGTTGGAGCTGAGATCAACAATCATTGCTCTAGCCGACGACAATGGAAACAACGTCAGTGGAGGGGATTATGTCACCACTGGGTTTGTTGCTGTTGAAATGAAGAAAACAATGAAAGATGAGAAGAATGAGGGAGAGGAACGAAGAATAAAATTGAGTTTTTAAAAGTAAAAATTCTCGATCAGTACCTTGTACTTTGGCTCGAGTGACAATTTAGTCCCCAAACTTTAAAATGTGACAATCCAGTACCCAAACTTTCAAAATGTGACAATCAAATACATGCCGTTAACCAATCACATTTTAAAAGTTTCAATTCTGAACTATCACATTTTGAAAATTCAAATAATGAATTATCGCATTTTAAAATTTGTGGACCAAATTATCACTCAAACCAAAATACAATCTTTCACCGAATATTAACGCTAACAATAAAAGTAGAGCTAATCAATTATCAAAAATAATAAAGATACTTCGTAATAATAATCAAACAATAATAATAGAGTTAGTTAATTAATTAAACCTTACGAATAATTTAAGAAATTTTATACCATAACTCTTCTTTTTATAAGTTGAGCCGAGCCTCGTCCCTCGGGACGAGTCAAAAGGAAATTTGTCGAGACCAAAAGCCAACTTAACTATGGTTGAAATATAACTAGGGTTAAGTTAAGGTAAGACTACCAACACCAAGCAATTAGTCAATTAGGTTTTGAAACGAGTCGCGACAAATACGGCAATCTCAAGTTTATCAACCGCCTCTTGCTTTGCTAGGGTTAGGGTTTCCTCATCAGAAAGCCCACCGCCTCATCGGCTATCGCCTCATTATCTTTCTTGTTTTCTTCAGTCTGATCTTTCGAAATCTATAATTGCTCTCTATTCTCTTAAAGTATTTTGTTTTTCTTGATCACGGAGATGGAATGCTTGACGGAATTTCCTCATTCTCACATGGATCGGCGTCCTCGTAAGAGGCCGAAGCTAGCTTGGGATGTACCTCAGGTACCTACGGTAGGTTTTATTTTTTTCCGAACTTTATAATTTTTTTCTCCACGGTGTTTGCGTTGTCTTTTTCTTTTCGTTGATAGATCTGATGGATTTCTTTGAAGTTTATCCTTGTCAGATCTGGTAAGGTTCTTTTATTGTTATCAAAAGTTCAAGGGATGATTTGTTGTTTTTTATAACGATATTGATATTGCTCAGGTGGATCTATGAATTTTCTATTTATTCTTTGCCTGATCTGATAGGTACTGGTAGATTTTTCTTTTTTGATTGTTCTAGTTTACATCATCGTGGTATTTGGAGCGATCTAACTGTAGCTTTAATCAGATTATGTGATTTTCTGTGGTTGGAATTCTATTCGTTTTCTCGTTGGATCTTCATAAAAGATGATGTTCCTTTCAAAGAATAGGATTTTTCCTACCAGGTTACTTAGCTTTCTTCCATAAACTAATAAATACCAGATTTCATGCTTGTTTTGTGCCATTAAGTTCGGGTCTTTTCGTCGTTTTCTCTATTATGTTTGATTTTTTTTGTTAAATATTATATTTGATTTTGGTTTCGCTGTCTTTGATTCCCTTTTTGGCTTCGGCTTATGCTTATTGCTTGGTATTTAAAATTTGGTCTTTTATTTTTTACGGTTAATCGGAAAGTTGGGTTTTATATGGAAGCTTCAGATCCATCGCTGGGTAAATTTATTCTCCATGTTTATTTTATAAGACTTTTTATTATTTCGTAAGAAATCTGTTATGGTGCATTTAGGCCTTTTGGCGTTTCTTATTTGCAAAATAAAAATTATTTTTAATCGTAATTGTATGTAATTTCAATTTCAATTGTGGTAATTAGGTTTTGTCTAAGTTTTTGGGTTATTGGTTGTCGGCCTTCTTGCTTATTAGTTAGCTTTGTTAATGGAAGAACATTTTGCTATCTTGGTTCTTATTTGCTCTGTTGGATTTCCTATAGAATTTAACTATTATTTACTTTATTCTTCTTTATTTATAGTAAAGGATACTCTGTTTTGGTGTGGTAAGCATTCCATGTTTCTTCATCCAAATAATATCTGTTTATTTATGGGATGTTGACAATCACTGAGGGGTTTTATTGGAAGGGATAATAATGGGAGGGGAAAGATTTTACTTATGTTTGTTGAGTGGAATATGAATGGATGGCTGTGTGTAGGCTCAGCCAGGATTATTTTGTGGGCAAGAGGTTGGAAACTTGACAAGCTTTGCACCTTCAAGAGCACCCTCAGAACATACTAGTTCTTCTCTGTTAGTAAAGGGAGTGGCTCGAAATGATTCCCCCCCATGGCGAGATGATGACAAAGATGGACATTACATGTTTGCGCTTGGAGAAAATTTAACTTCTCGCTGTAATTACACTTGATCACCATTAAAGAAATGTTCTTTACATTTAAATTATGTGGTCTGATCATCCGTTATGTTAAATGCTCTGTTTGATTCTATTGATTTTCGATAATGCAATGTCACCTTCTTTCTGTTTTGGAGTCTTCCCCATCTTGTTATGTTCCTTGGTTCATGTGTTTTTAACTTTTAGCTCACCTCTGCAAGTTTTTTTATGCCTTTTTAATTGGTATATCAACCAAATTTTATTTATTTTGGTTTGTCTAAAGATTTTTCCAAGCCAAATCAACTTTCCATTAAGCCACTGCCAAGTTGGTTTGGATTGCCGAGATACCTGAAAGTTATATGATTCCCTCAAGTATAGGGTATTTGGTTTTCTAAGATAGCTGTTTTCCGGTTGTATGCTGATTATGAAAATAACTGTCATTTATTCTAGCACCAAGCACGTTGTTTTGCTCTCTCTTGCACCATCAGTGAAATCTTCAACTCTTTTTGAAGGCAGGCAGTAAAAACCCCCCTGCTGCTGCTGAGATATTGATCTTCCCATGTGGGGCTTTCTAAAATTAGATTTCCTCTAGGGTTTATTCACTTGCCCATTTTTAATTTGGCTGAGACCTTGACTTTAGCATGTATTGAAATTTTATTATCACAAATATTTTTGTGTTTATGGTTGGAAGCTAATTCAAGATCCATATTTGAAGATCACTTTTCCTAATGTGTGTTTCTTGTCATTGTTTTCAGATCGGATTCACAGCAAAATGGGTGAAGGTGAGTTTTTGTCCTTGGAAGTCTTGAAGTAGATGTTGTTGTTTGTTTTATTTTCATCCTTTGTTGTTCCTAATATGATTCTATTACTTGTTCTTCAAGGATTTTGTTTAATAATTTCTGGATTGCAACTTAAGTTGTCACTTACACCTCACTCTCTTATTTATTATGTGTATTTATATGTGGACATGCATGCAAACATTTCCTCTAATAACTTTTTCTGGTCTTCTCTTCTACAGGGACTTTTGGGCAGGTTTTGGAATGCTGGGACAGGGAAAGGAAGGAAATGGTTGCCATTAAAATTGTTCGTGGCATTAAGAAGTATCGTGATGCTGCAATGATAGAAATTGAAGTCCTTCAACAGCTGGCAAAACATGACAAAAATGGTGGCCGGTGAGTTTTATTACATCCATTCTCTCGTACATACTTAATCCCTTGTTGGCACTGTAGTTGGTTTAAGGTAAATCTTGTGTGGTTAAGCTGGTTTATTCTTTGCAGTTGTGTGCAAATACGGAACTGGTTTGACTATCGTAATCATATCTGTATTGTAAGTATATGGTTGATCTGTAATGGCTTGATTTCCCCAATTTCACAAATATTTTGGGGGTTAAGACTTGTGGATGGATTTAAATTCTTTCAACAGGTATTTGAGAAGCTTGGACCAAGCTTATACGATTTTCTACGGAAAAACAATTATCGCTCTTTTCCCATTGATCTAGTTCGTGAGATTGGAAGGCAACTGTTGGAATGTGTAGCATGTGTGTAGTCATCTTGCCAGTTCCTTTTGTCCTTTTCAAGTTGTACCACAACAATTGTAGTTGGAGATAAATTGCATCTTCCCTTAAAATTGCTTAAGGAATCAATATGATTTTATCTCTATTAGGATTCTTATAATCTCTTACTGTTGGTAGTTGTTATGTGACTAGAAGTAGCTTGTTTGTTATCATCTATTGTTAGTGATTACACATTTGAAATGTTTTACTCTTTTTGGCTTTCGTCATTTGTGCTATGAATACTTGTTTATGTTTGTGATTTATTTTTGCAGTCATGCATGATTTGCGTCTCATTCATACTGATTTGAAGCCTGAGAACATTCTATTCGTCTCCCCAGAGTATGTTAAAGTACCAGACTACAAGGTATACTTGTGACTTATTTTATGCATTTTGGTCATGTTTTCTTACCCAATTTCACAATTCCCTGTCCTCAAACAACTGTTTTTAATGTTTGTTTTTTTCCTTTCTGTGATTACAGGTTTCCTCCCGATCCCCCAAGGATGGTTCATATTTCAAAAGGTTGCCAAAGTCCAGTACTATAAAGGTAATTGATTTTGGTAGCACAACATATGAGAATCAAGATCACAGCTACATAGTTTCAACTCGGCATTACCGTGCACCTGAAGTCATTCTTGGTATGTTTCTGCTCATTCTCATTTGTTATCGTATTTTGATTTTATGATGAATTATTGATATTTGTGACAAGTACGAAGGGAGTGATTTAACTAAATCCTGTCTTGACATGTTTATAGGACTTGGGTGGAGCTATCCATGCGACATATGGAGTGTTGGTTGTATTTTGGTGGAGCTATGCTCGGTATTCCTGCGCCCAAATGCCTGTTTTTGTTTTCTTGTAGTTGGAAGTTTTGCTAGTAAGCATCAAAATTTGATTATTCCAATTTTGCGTGACGACAGGGAGAGGCTTTGTTTCAGACCCATGAGAACTTAGAGCATCTTGCCATGATGGAGAGAGTGTTGGGTCCATTGCCTCAGCACATGTTGAAGCGAGTGGAGTAAGTTTTCTGATAGACTTGAACTTAGTGTTCCATAATTAAGACATTGATCCTCATTTTGTAACTTGGGTTTAATTCTATGTTTAGCCGACCTGCTGAGAAATACGTTAGAAGAGGTAGACTAGACTGGCCTGAGGGTGCAACATCAAGAGAGAGCATTAAAGCTGTTACTAAGTTGCCTCGTCTGCAGGTAATTTATATCACCCATGTCGTCATGTTTCCTGTTTTCTAACTTTTGATGTTTTAACCAGGACACCCTGCGTGAAGTCCATTTCCTTGTTTATTTTCACGGAATGCTGTCTTTTCTTGTTGATCATTGTGGTTAATTTTTCTATTGTGCGTTAACTTGGTTTGTATTCTTCCTTTTTTGGTATTCGCAGAACCTAGTAATGCAGCATGTGGACCATTCGGCAGGGGATCTTATAGACTTGGTACTAGGTTTGCTCAAGTATGACCCTGTGGACCGGCTTAGTGCACGCGAAGCGCTGAGGCATCCCTTCTTTACAAGGGATCATCACAGGAGATGATAAATGTACAGTATACGAAACCTTTAGCCCATGAAAGAATTTTAGGATCACATGCGGGGGATGTTGGATCTTTGGTTCTAGAAGTGTATAAAATTAGTTGGGCTGGGTCTGTGGCCTCTGGGCTGATGATGTACAAAAGAGTAATGAAAGAAATTAGACTCCAGGGGTTTCTCATCCGGAGTCCAACTCCCCCCAAGGAAGGAGCGTTCTTTTATTTTTTCTCCTCGTAATGGATATACATTACAATGACAGACAACTGAGAATCTAACAAAATTGCTACATTGCTCCTTTGTTTCTCCTTGACCAATTTAACAGGCAAATCTCACCCAGCAACCCACCCAGAGGATGAAGTTCATCATAATTGATTTACTTGATCATGATTAGGAAGACGGTTGCAGAGTTTCCTCAAGTTAGTATTAGCACATTTTTAGTTTTTTTTTCATCTATTTTAAGCTATCAATTCCTTTATTGTTAGAGGAATTAGCAATTCGTTCAATCAGATATAGAACTGGTACATTTGAAGAAGCTACCTCGTCAATCTCTCTTGTGACTGCCTATTTCGTTTTGGTTTCTGTTTCCATCCCAAGTCGCAATAATGAATTTTGCCATTTTCCCATATACTTTTGGTTGTGGTTTGTGAATCCTTGACGAGTCTGGACTTCGTGGAATCTCAGGCATAGAAATTGTGTTCAGATCTACCCCCATTCCTTGCCCACACGATCGAGATTAATTAAAGTAAAATCGTGAAAGCTTGGAGTAATTCTTTTTAAGCATTTGCAAGATAATTCTTCCTAACACCTTTGCTATTGTAAATTATATAAAGAATGTTGGCAACGGCACATGTTAGTTTGTAAGGGCTACTCTTTAGTAGATGAAGTTCCACCATTTGCAAGAAATACCGTCGGTGGTCGCAGTCTGAATGCTTGAGCTCGGAGCTCAGTATGAAGATCGTGGGTGATTCCTTGTCTAATTCTTCAAAGGCTACGACGGTGGAGTATTGTCATCTGCATCAAAGATTGTGAATGCATCGCAAGTAACAGCAACTTGTTCGTCACATTTTCGCATGCATTTAGGCAATCTAGGCCAGATGATGACTGGCTAGCGTATGAGGTGATTGATGATGTCTAAGGGCAGTTTTCCCAGTTCCGAATCCTCTACTGGGGCACTGCACTAGGTTGGTACGCCATGTCCCCTGAGGCTCCATTCCGGAATAGTGCAAATGCAAATATTTGCTGTTCAGGTAAAGTCAAACTCTAGGCTGGTTGGAAGTTCACTTTGCACCGTTGCTATTTGGTTGGTAGAGAGCAAACCAGCAAGTAGTGTATGTCTATGAAGATCAACGCTGCTGAGCTTGTGATGAGGATCATGATCACACGGGTGATCACCACAGAAGCTGCAATGAACATTGTATCCATTGATAAAGTCGCCACGAAAACACAATTGGAGGCCGTTGCAATGACTTAGAATCATCCGGAAGTGATGAATTCAATCACGTATGCTTGCGTGCGATGCTCTATACATCGCTCATGGCTATCCCAAGCCTTGATGGTATAGGTTGCCTTGCGAGCAGCTATGATGGCTTACAGCCACCTCATCACAATAAGCAATGTTACTAAGACATGTCATTGCTTAAAGATGTTTTACTCTTAACACATGACCGCGAATAGGCACGAAAGGGTTGTAGCTGGAAATGTGCCACATGAGAATTTAAAAAGGGGGTCACAATTTCAAAAGATCCTCACTGGACACATGACAAACCCCAATTAGGCTTTATGCCTTCACCCATTAGGTGCCTTGAGAATCATGATCCACTTCCCGAATAAAAAGTCTCTTTGTGTGTTTCTAGTTATAGCTTTAGTGATTCCTCTATAAAAAGGAGTCTCCAAAGCCTTCACACGAGATTCATCTCAAGAATACTAAGAGTCTAAGAGAGTCCCCCATGGAGACCAAAATACTTCGCCTTACCATCCTAGTTACATAGCAACACAAGTTTGCATGTGTTTGTTCGAATTATAAGTTACAAACACATGAGAGCTGATGCTGCAAGATCTGGGCACTCCTATCTGGCTGTGGCTTGGCTTCTGGCTGGAACGGATGGCACCTGAGAGGAAGGAGAAGGGTTCCCGGGGAGTTCTCCCGATGCGAATACTCCGATGGCTAAATTAGAACTGGAGAAATCTCAAAGAAAGAACAGAGAGTAAGAGTGCTTAAAGTGCTTAAGCTTCAATACCTTTGTTTCGTGAGGATTGGGGTTCTTTTATGTCGGAGCTCCGTCACACCTGCCATAACCACCACTGCCCTAGCCGTTACTGCCAGGGCAGGTGTGGCAGGTGCAGGTTGCGGCTACAGACTGCTATGTCCAGGTACGAACTCGATAGACGCGTCACGCTTTTCAGAGACGGCAAACAGAACGCCGCCTGGCAAGGGATCAAAGCCCTACCACCGGATTCGGCAGGTACGGATGTCAGGCAGGTTTCCTTGCAGCCTGCCGAGCTATTGTACGCTAGACCACCTGGGGCAGTTTTGTCTCGACACCGAGGTGCCGAGGTGCCTGCATTGGAGGCGGTGCTGCCCCGAGGTGCTTCTTCCTCGGGACACTTAGCGAAAAATCGGGGTGCTCCCTTTTTATGAAGGGAGAGCTCGAAACCCCTTTAGGAGGAGCTCAGGTCTCAAGGGGAGCTCGAGATCTCCCACACTTGGTGGGAGTCGAGGTTGGCCAAGTGTTAGTCCCCGACGAGTCGCTTAACCCGCCGAGTGGCCAGTGTTGGGCTTGGCATGTCTCTCCCGTCGAGTCGCGGTTGTGCTGTCCGACTGAGCTGTTCGTTGAGCCAGGTCACGCACACGTGTCCCTGTGCTACGAACTCCATCAATTGCCCCCACTCCTCGTGCCGGGGGTGGTGACCCAGCCTGGGGAGTTCACGGTGTGCCGGGTGGATTTGGCTCGGTCACCCTATCGGGCAACTAGTTGGCCAGACCTGTCTAGTGTTCGGTTCACTCAGAAGGAAAAACCTGGGTTGCGTACAACTTACGCGCGGACGTCACGCGATCTGGACTTCGCGGATGCCAAAAAACGCGCTAAACTGATTTCGCCTTGAGAGTCTCGCAGCCGGTTTTCTTGAGGACCGTCAGATTGTTTCGATCTTGACTGTTGGTGCCCGGGCCCAGCGGCTATAAATAATGGGGGACCCTGGTCATTTTCTTTTGCCACTAAGTATCTTTCGTCTAGCTTGAGCTCGCGTTTGGAGTCTTCAGCTCGGGTCTTCTAGTTCGTTCAGTTCTAGTTCGGTTGCGTTTTTTCCCGGTGAGTCCCCGGGCTTCCCTTTCTCCTTTTTCAGTACATTTCATTCTATGTCTAGCGGGGAAAATCTCTTATGTGGGTACCTTGGATCAGGGTGACCTTGCTGTCGCCCGGCCTTCTCATGAGGCACGGGTGACTTCGGGTAAGCTGGCGTCCACCTCCCGCCGAGGTCGTGTGCCAAATCAGTTCGGTCCATCTACTATGACGCTGGAGAGGCTTCAACACCTCATCTAACACTTCAACCTGCCTCAGGGGTACACATATAGTCTTCCTACCGGCAACTTCCCTTGGAAGCACGATCCGAATGAGATCGTGATCTTTAGAGAGCAACTCATTAGCGGGATTCGTCTCCCTCTTCATTGCCTCATTCTCGAGTTGTTGAGACGCTTCAACATCACGCTGGACCAGCTCCACCCAAACTCTATTCAAAACGTGGTCGGGACTATCTCCCTTTGTTCCGCACATAACTTTCCCTTAGACGCAGACATCCTTTTTTCCATTCTGTTAATAAAGAAGAGTGCCTCGGGCGTTCCCCCCGAGCGCGGGCGGACATACGATCTGTCCCCTCGCCTGGGGTTCAAAATGTTACATTAATTTCCAAGCAAGGTCTTGGCCTGGAAGCGGGACTACTTTGTAGTCTAGAGCAGCACGGGGTGGCCCTTCCCTACTAGCTGGAGGGTGGCTACCCAAGCCCCCAGCATTACTCTCGACCGGAAGACGGGGGAAACATTCCACTCATGGGCTCAGGTCGGGTTCGATCACAGGGATTACATTGCCGAAGAGAAGCTCACTCAGGCCGGTTTGAGCCCGAGTAGGTCTATTTCTACTTTAGTGTCTTGCTTAATCAGCCAAGTGTTTTCAAGCTTACTGACGTTGAGCTCTATTGCAGGTCCCATGGAGGAAGAAAGGATTATTGACCCGATGCTCCTTCACCAAATGAAGAAGAGGAAAAAGCGAGCCGCCAAGAAGGCGCGCGTGGAGCCCCCAAGTACCCCCACCCCTGAACCCGACCTCCTGCAGGCTCCCATCTCGGGACTTGAGCTTCCTAGTGCCCCTCCAGTGATAGATTTGGAGGGGGAGTTACCATCTCAGGAGCCTGAAATGGCAGTAGAGCCGGTCCCTGAGCCAGCTGGGGCTGCCGCCGAAGTTCCTAATCCTACCGAGGTTGCTGCTAAGGCTTCCGAAGGATTGACTCATCATGCTGCAGAGATGACGGCATCCAGCTCGGGGAGCCAGGAGGAGGAGGAGAGCATCTTGAACACCCAGGTCAGCCTTGAAAGAAGTAGAGGGGCTGTCATCTCCGCAGAGGTTATAGACTAGGCTGAACTCACCCCTGGTCAGCTCGGGGCCCGCGCTGCAACCCACGCTATGGTGGTGAGTTCGCACTCTAAGGGTCACCACTTTCACATTCTTTCGTTCTTTCCTCTCTGGTACTGATCGACCTCCTTTTGCCAGGTGAACACTATTGTGCACGCGGTGGCCTTTCAGTTTGACAAATACCTAAGGCGCGCTTTGGCTGCTGAGGAGCATGGTGCAAGATTCATTAGTTGGAAAGTGACGCTGCAGCTCAGAAGGGCTGTATTGAAGTTCTGCTGTCAGAGAAGGAGGAGCTAGCCCGCGAGAGGGACAGGCTGAAAGCCGAGGTGAACGGGCGTAGAGCAGGCCAAGAGGCCTTAAAGCTTGAGGTGGAGAGCCTCAAGGCGAGTCAGAAGGCTTCGCAGCTCCAGGCGCAGACGCTTAAGGAAGCCAAGGGGGTCCTGGAGCACGAGGTGGAGTACCTCAAGGCTGACATTAAGGAGAAGACCGAGATCTTTGATCAGGCTCTCGAGGAAACGAAGATCCAGGCCGTTATCGACTATGCCAAATCATCTAAGTTTGACGAAGTGATGTCGCAGGTCTACCGTGGGGGGTTTAAGCTCAGTAGGTGGTTGATAAGGCATACATACCCCGACCTCGACACAAGTGCCATCACCACCTGGAGGATCACAGACGACATGG